TTGCACTCATCTTGTTAAATTAATAATTAAAAATCTATGTGATTATTTGCAAAATGGTAGAAGACTTTTTTGTTCAATATGACCTAAAGTATAAATACACGACAGTAGTCGCTATTATAACTCATTTACCATATCCTGCACGATTACTCACAAATTTTCTACAATTAGTATCTCGATAATTATTGCGAATATCGCAAAACGGTATAGGACTTTTATGTTCACCGCAACCTGTTTTATGTTCCCACAAAATACCCGGAGGAGAGTGTGAGACACCCTGTATATATATATATATATATATATATATATATATATATATATATATATATATAATATATAATTAGAACCTTAATTGCATATATTTTAAGGAATATATTTACATATATTTCTTTAAAATATCCACTACCTGTATTAAAATATTTTACTTTTGAGATAAGTAACATACCATAACAAAACAATTTCCAACTACACACAAATTTAGCGTGCATCCCACCAATTGCACGAAACAGCCTTTATACATAATATTCTCTATACGTTCTATGAAACTGAAATGTCAAATTCATCTATTTAATTTTAATATGTTTAGTTTGTAACGTGCGTTGTTTTACTGACATATTATATAAATCTACTAAACAGAATTATATTTTTTGCAGCATTAAATCATGCCTTATAAAATCTTGGAAAGCACTTAATTTATCGCGCAGTATAATCAAGATATCTAATTATCTTTAAATAAATGTTAATGTATAAGATACAGTGAAAGCACCACAGTTAAATAAAGTACCATAAAACTCTTAAGTGATGTTTGACGATAGCGGCCAATCTTCGTTCAGCAACATAGTTTTCCTTTGTATTATCCTCGTTGAATTCGTTAAACCACGCGGACAACATGTTCAGTTGACCACAAGCGTGCATTGCAAACACAATAGCGAGACTACAAATACACACTATGCAGGAACCCGTTATGTAGCTCGATATGAATTGCATACTAATCATGATTTCATTCACCGGACTAAATCTTGCGTCGATAAGCTTACGATACGTTGGACATGACAACACACGTGTCGTGGTGGTTACGTTATTGTGATTTAAGGTTACGGTTATCAATACTGTACGTATATTCAACAAAAATACACTGCTCTGCATGAGAATCGCGCATACTATGGTTATATAACGGCCTATCTTGGCATGTTTCATCATCACCTCAGTATCCTCGATTCTCTGAACGATGCGCCAATCTTGTTCCATATGTTTTATACATTCCTGAATAGCTTTACCGTATGTGAGTAGTATCCAGTAAATAAAGGAGCCCATTAATCTATGCACTAGTGGACCGAGAGAATTTAATTTCATTTGGATGCCCTTCGCCTCGAAAAATATATATAATAGACACGGTACGGTATATATTGCCACTATGAACGACCAAATGGGAACAAGTACTATTGTGGAGAGTCTCTCTATTATGTTGGATGTGCATGTTTGCGGCCAAGCGCCAATCGATATAAGGAACCATCGGCTCAATTGTAAACTGTAATCGTTGTTTTTTTTCCACTCAGCACTGTTCGCTAGACGTTTGAGACGCGACATGATCGCTTTATGGAGTTGCACGGCACACTATCACGCCAGGCAGAAATACAAGTACACTTGCTAGAAGTTTGAAGTGAATACAAAGCAGCGCATGCGCTGATATTCAGAAAGTTTAGTGCACGAAACATTCATGTAATTACCTTTAGGGAGATAATACGTGTACGTATGATCAATAATTCCTTGAAATTAGCTTGCGTTATTGGTCCTCTTTTGTGACAGGATACGATGTGCAACAAACATAATAAGAACGAATGTTTAGAAATGAATTATAGTGCTCCAATTTAGTAAATTTCTAGCAAATTTTCATTAGTCTTCTCGACCTTCTTGTATGCATCAAACAGGACAATTATATAAGTTAAAAATATGATAAATGGTGAGATAAAAGGAAAAATATTTTATATTACTTAAATATTGTTTGTAAAATAATTTATAAAATAAATAATTTTCCAAATAAAAAATTATTTAAATATTGATATTGAAATTCTGGATGATTAAAGGTATCGTGATTTATTGAAAATAATGTTGATCGCAAACAAATTATATATATTGAAACAAAACTAGTTTTAATCATATTCTATCTGGAAAATATATTTATTTTTCTGCGAAACATGTCATCTACATGTTTTCTAATTTATTACATTTCACATAGACAACGCTTTCAACAAATTTATATATGCAAAGGAAGTTTTCATAATCTGAAAAAGTAAGGTGTCTTATCTCAATATATGATATAGAAAAACATTTTAAAAAGTTAAAATTTAAAGTACTGCTTAAATCATTAAAGTAGATAAATCAACTAATCAAATTAATTGATTAAATAAAAATCAAATCACAGTCTAATTTTTAGGTATAGGATAATTAATTTTTACAATCTTATTAGTCTAATTTTTAGGTATAGGATAATTAATTTTTACAATCTTATTATATAAATTATTAACATTTGATGTAGTTTATGAAATGTTTCTTAATGGAATATTGTTATAATGAAAATGTGTATGACTTACGTCCCCAAACTTGGTGATAGACAAATGAAATATCTTTCCCGCTGTTATTTTGATCACGTTATTTGACCATGCAATTATTAATATAAACCCACGCGCAGTTTTGTAATTCAATTTGTACCAATTAGTCATATATGCTATCGAACCGACTTTTGTACATTAATAAGTTAATTTATGTATGATTTAAAATTATGATGACAATAAGGGGATAAGTAGTAAGATATAAAAATGTTAAAGGAGACAAACAAGTCTGAATACAAATATCCAGCAAAAAACTATGTTATATAATTTTTTTGACTATACGATATAAATTATAAGAAATACTACTTTGTCTTTGAGATGTTACCTGTTCTGTGATAATCTCGCCAATGTAACAAAATATAAAAATATTAAAAGCCATTGAAGTATATATCGTAGCAACTGTCAATATTTTTGATTTAGTAACTCCATATATACTCCAACTCTACAAAATAAAAATTTAAGTTTTTTGCGTATAATAAAAACGTCCAATTGTATTTTCAGAGGTAATTTTACAATCAAATAAAATGTTATATATAATATATATACAAGATGTCTCACACTCTCCTCCAGGCATTTTGTGAGGAGGTAGGACAGGTTGAGGTGAACATAAAAGTCGTATACCGTTTTGCGATATTCGCAATAATTATCGAGATATTAATTGTAGAAAACTTGTAAATGATCATACAGAATATGGTAAATGAGTTATAGTAGCGACGACTGCCGTCGTGTACTTATACTTTAGGTCAAATTGAACAAAAAAGTCTTCTACCATTTTCCAAATAATCACATAGATTTTTAATTATTAATTAAAAAAAATTATTATTGCACGATTTTACGTGATAATGCTCTTTGTAAGACTCATCTTCTTTGTATTCACCTCAATCTGTTCTACGTCTCCACAAAATGTCCGGAGGAGAGTGTGAGACACCCTGTATATTATATGATAGTATATACAAGGTGTCTCGCGTAAAACATGCCAAAAGAAAAATATAAGTAGAACAGATAAAACTAAACAAAAATTGTAGAGATCATTTTTCAAACAACCACGTAAAATTTCGAGGTATTAATAAAAATAGTTGGACAAATTAGAGCGCGACGACGCGGCAGGCGGGACATACGGCTTGCCGCGGCCGGCGGAAAAAATGGACGATTGCTCGCGAATCTATCTTATAGGCCAGAGAGGTGAGTTGTTTGGCATACGGAAATGGGTAGTTTCGTGTGTGCGTACGTGTACGTGTGCGCTCGTCCATTTTCTTCACCAGCCGCGGCGAGCCGTATGTCCCACCTGTCGTGTTGCGTGCTCTAATTTGTCCAACTATTTTTATTAACATCTCGAAATTTTACGTGGTTGTTTGAAAAATTACCTCTACAATTTTTGTTCATTTTATCTGTTCTACTTATATTTTTCTTTTAGCATGTCTTACGCGGGACACCCTGTATATATATATATATATATATATATATATATATATATATATATATATATATATATAT